TCTGCACCCATATCTTTCTTGTTCATCTGCTGACGGTCTGCTCCTCACCATATCATTCTCGTCACGGTCATCTTCGAAGCGTGTCGATCCAAAATGATCTCGTTGCATTCACTCTTTACCGACCTTGACCTTCGTTAATGTAATTCACTCACAGTTCTCCCAAACTGCTTTCACGATGGTGCACGTCACGATCCTGCACGATGGTTATATTCCGTTTCATGAACAAGTGGAAGTGTTAAGGCAGACATTATTTAAGGTCACTGATTTATATGCACAGCATCTGTCCAATAAATGTTTCACAAGTTTTTATATGGTTCATGATACTACTGCTTCATTTCTTTGTCATGATCTTTGTTTAGAACAAGGCTTGCTATGCTAATTCTGTCCGAGCTCAACATGATGTGGCATCAACACACTAAATTTGAATCAGCTTGGAAGTATGCAGCCAATGCTACATCCTTGAATGTCTCGCTTAGTGTAGGCTGTGTGAGATGAGCATGTGAAAGGCCAACCACAAAAAGGGATAAACAGACGCATACGTGAGGGTATGATGTCCGGACGATATCCTCCAAGCTCGCGCCGTACTCGACAGCAAGCTTAGCCTGGCCGATAACCTCGCCCATATTGATGTCTACGAAGAATATGTGCTCAGTGCAGCATGTTACGAGAGGATGCTCACCAATGACTCGCACACAGAGGACGTGATCGATCTCCTTCTCAGCGATGAACTCGACTTGGCCCTCATTGTCGAGGGTGATCTTGGCACCGGAGTTGGCGGCCGCGGCGGAACCCTCCTTCACCTGATGCGCGAGCGTAGGACCGAACATCAGCTCAACAACGCAGTTTACGCCCGCAACAGATGTGTTATATTGATCACTGATAATTATGCGACCCTTGGAGGGGGGGATTGGTCTCGACGCCGATCTCGCCAATCCCGAGGCCCTCGGGATAGATAGCGACGAGAATGACACCAGTACCCTGTTGTAGCGTTTATCAATGAATGCACGGGCGGGCGAAATTCGCAACTTACGCACCACAGTCTCCTGGCCGCCCTTGCTGCCTAGGTCTTGAGGTAGCTTTTGCCGTCCTTCTTCTCAGGGTTTTTACCTTCACGTTCAGAATGACAAGCCAAACGATATTTAACAGCGACTGATAAATCATTGAACACGCGACAGACGCAGTAGGTCGACTTGCTGCCAGCACAGGATTGGTAAGAACATGCTGATTGAAGGTAAGATCTTGAAGCTCCCATCAGCGATGCTCCTGCGGATCCTCGTTAGCAGTACTGACATACATTCCCAGTCGTGATGGAGACGCTGCCTCCTTCCCTCGAAAAGGCAAGATCAAGCACATCGGACTAGGGTGAGTGCAGTGTGGATTGGGCAAAGGCCATCCCAGGCACGTAGAGAAGATCTTCGCATGTCCCATGGAGTGCAGTCCCTTCGAGACCAGCATCGAAACCTCTGCGTTCCTGGCGGCTGCAAAAGAGGTGGGCGATAGGATCGTCGCGTACTTTCCACTGAGAAGAGGTATATTCGGCTTCGTCTCAAATGTGCCGAAGCTGACACCGTGCGGCTAGTCTCATTACAGGAAGATAAAGCACCTGTGGAATCCCACTTGTGCGACCACGCAATCGACTGCCTGTGAAAAGTCCAAATCGACCGCCGACTTTGGGCCAGAGATCTACCGGCCCATATTGTCCCATGTTTAACCCGAGAACAGCATCGAGCTGACAGACAAATTCCAAGATATTGACGAGAAGTACGTCGCGACCACCAGCCAGATTGCGCTCCCGTAGATCCTAGCGGAGCGCCCGGACGTCATTCCGATTCCACGAGCGCGATCGCCCGAGAGAGTAGAGGAGAACGCGGAGGCAGCCGATATCGCGCTGAAGAAGGAGGACCCGCGGAAGCTGGCCGATGACTGCGGACGTCAGTCCAGGGGGTTGCGCTGACTTACCGAATGCGTTTGATCTAATGCTGAATGCAGAGAATGGCCCGCTGGGCGAAACGGTAGACACGGGCCAACGGTGTGTACCAGAATGTAGCTAGACCAGCAAGAGTTTCCCAAACTCGCGGTAGTGAGTTTGATTGACAACAAAAGTACGGTTCTCAAAGCATTCGCCCTGGCCTCGGATGGAGCCTGACTGACTGCGAGAGTGCATGAGACTGACCGAAGTCCAAGCCCGAGCAGATCGGCACCAAAAGATGCGGAGGTGGCCATGTGTCCATTGAATGGCAAGCCAAGATGCTTTTGGGCGCAAGAAAGTTCAGTCGCACACATTAGCGTCAGTGCCCGAGCCATGGGCCGTTCGCGGCGGTGAGCGAGCGGGCCTCGGTTCGCGACCGTGGCAGCGAGGAGCTCCTCGCTGCGCGATGGCGGAGGCGAAGGGTGATGAGGAACCAGGCACGGGGGCGGCTTCTAGTCCTTCTCAGATCTCGTTCAATCCAGCGACCCAGCGGCTGCTGAATGCGCGTCTCGCGGTGAGATCTCGCATTGCGTTGCGCTGAATTTCAGGGCGTGCTGCGGGGAAGATGTTGAGGAGACAGAGAGTTCAGAGCGCAGGCAGTTAGCCGGAAGAGGACTGCCGCAAGAGTTTCCTAATTAGCGACAAGTGCCTTGGCCGGGTGGCGGCGCCGACTTGTTCTTTGCCCCGCTCGCCATCCTTCTCGTCCCTCTCGTCCTCCCGTTCCCCGTCCGCTCCAGTGCTCAAGCCCACCTCCTTGAGCCTGAAGTATGGCCATTGGAAAATGGATCTCATTCGGTTCCGCCCAGGCCAACCACGTCTCCATCCCCGTCGCTCCCGCCGTCACTCAACCTCCCGTCGCCTGTGCAGCGGACGCGAAGCAGTTTGGGCTCGAGAACGTAAGTCCTGCCGACTGTTATAAAGTCCAGCTGATTATCCATTCGTCTGTTTATCTACAGTTCGGGAATACATGGTGAGCACTGCTCTTTTCTACGACGCGTCCCGCGATGCTGCGCGTGCATCCGTTTCTTCACTTGTCTTTGTCTCGACGCTCTCTGCGCGATCCTCGCGCCGTACTCTGTCCATCATATCACCCATCGCGCCCAGTTACTATTTCATGCCCACCGCTCGAGTCCATTTGTCAGTAAGCCCGTGGGTATCGGACGGATTCGCAGAAGGGTGGCGCAGGGCAGATTCGTGTCTCCCCGTTTGTCCATTGCTTTACGCAATGCTGCTTTTCAATGCCTGCTGACGGCTAATCGTGCACCACGGCCGAGTACGTGGCCGTAGATCATCCATACTCCCTCTCCTTGGTGTTGTCTTCGCCGAATGTTACGTTACTGACCGTGACAATTTAGCTACGCCAACTCTGTACTACAGGCCCTGTACTTCTGTGGGCCATTTCGCGAGCTTCTAGTTCAATATCCCGATCCTGCTGCACCCGATATCCCGCATATACCACATCCCTCGTCATCTCTGCCGACATCCAACGCCGCTCCTTCCGCCATTCCCCGCAGCAGACTAGAGCGAAAGTCTTCCGTCTCAGAGTCTTCTCCCTCTCAGGCCTCGCAGCTCAATGCGAGCTTCCCGCGGTCAGATGCCTCCTCTGTGTTCCCTATTCCCCCGTCACCACCAACGCTGCTGTCCGCGTTGCGCTCACTGTTCGTGCACATAAGCAATCAGCCGGCCTCCAAAGGCACCATTGCGCCCCGCGCATTCATCGAGAAGCTCAAGCAAGAACATGAACTGTTCCGAAGTGGACAACATCAGGACGCGCACGAGTTTCTCAATTTCCTGTTGAATAGGATAGTGGAGGAGATTGAGCAGGACCGGCGGAGAGGGCAAAACGGAACCGCAAATGCAGGGAGTTTGAGCGGCGAAGACTGTACGTCCGTTCTGCCGACTCGTGCGCTTTTCTGTGACTACTAATGATGCCTTAAAAAGTGTCTACGTCGATTGCGACCTTGTCCACCACTGCCGCCGGCCCGACTTCCACTGCCTCCATATCGCCTTCAAGTCCCTCATTCCCACAGTCCACCTTGGTGCACCGGCTATTCGAAGGCGTGCTGACGAGCGAGACGCGCTGTCTCACATGCGAGACGGTCTCATCACGGGATGAGTCTTTTATTGACCTGTCGATTGACATCGAGCAGAACTCGAGCGTTACGGCGTGTCTGAGACAATTCAGCGCAAGTGAGATGCTCTGCCAAAAGAACAAGTTCTTCTGCGACGCGTGTTGCGACTTGCAGGAAGCGGAAAAGCGGTACGTGCCTGGATGCGCTGACGAACCTGTACGGGCATTGACTTTATTGATTGATTAGGATGAAGATCAAGAAGCTGCCGAACATCCTTGCATTACATTTGAAGCGGTTCAAGTACCAAGAGGACGTGAAAAGATACATCAAGCTCACATATCGTGTAGCATTTCCGCTGCAGTTACGATTATTTAATACCGTGGATGATGCAGAAAATCCCGATCGTCTGTACGAGCTGTTCGCCATTGTTGTTCACATTGGAGCGTGCGTCATCGATCTACATTATCAGCCGGCTGATTTCGTCTGACTCCATGATGATCACCAGCGGTCTCAACCACGGTCACTACGTTACTATCATCAAAGCTCGGGGGAAATGGCTTCTTTTCGACGATGAGAGTGTTGATGTCATCAAGGAATCCGACATCCCCAAATACTATGGCGAGACCAACAACGGCTCTGCCTACGTCCTTTACTACCAAGCAGTAGATCTTGACATGGCTGCACTCGGTATACGACCGCAGGAGGCTACAACGACGTCAACGGACATCGGTTTGGAACCCTCGTCGAGGCCGTCGAACGTCGCGACCGTGGTCGAATCCAGCGAGTCGGATCCCGCAGTACCGCCAGGGCTTACCGTTGATGCGGACTCGGAGAAGAGCGACTCCCCCCTTCCAACCCCGCGATCTCAGCCACAGTCATCGTCATCGCTGCAGACACCGAGACATGCTTCCCCACAGCCACCGACATTGGGGCTGTCGATACCCAAGCGGCCGTCCTCGGGACCTTCGACACCGGTGCAGGCATCCGGATCATCATCTTCTGGTGCGCTTGGAGGGCTATTCAACACCCTTCGGCATACACCGTCTATGCGAGTGCGCATGAATGGTGGTAATGCTTCCGACTCTCGGAGGAGCTGGATGGATGCTGTGCAGCACCACCCCACGTCATCGCCAACGAAGTCGCGTTCCAGCCGGCGCCCCGCAACAGCGCACGGAATTGTATCGACGACGAGCAGCCAGTCGCAGGAGTCGGAGCCGGGATCGCCGTCAATGGCATCAATGCCGGACGGACATGCTAAGGAGAAGCAGCCCGAGAAGAAGGCAAGCATGTGGTTCAAGCGGAAGAGCTCGCGACTCGAGGCGTCGTTCAGTGGCCCGTCATCAGTGCCAGTGAGGGAAGATACGGTGTCACCGCAGCGCTCGCAGACTCTGAAGGAAACCGGGCACTCGCGGGCGATGTCCGAGGCGAGTCCATCGCCTGCTCCGACGTCGTTCGCGGCGTCTCCGATGGGAATGGTACATTCGCCGTTGGTGCCACCGCCCCTAGCGTCTCCGTCGATGCCAATGTCACCCGTGCTGTCGCATCCACATCACCCGGAGCACAAGAAGTCGACGCCAGAGCTTCCGGGTAAAAGTAAGAGCAGCAGATCAGGCGTCACTTCTGCATTAGGGAGGCTGCCGCGGAGACCGTCCACCGCGGGCGCGACGGTTAGCACCCCTTCGCATGCAAGGCCAACGTCTGTTGTTGTACCGCCAATACCGTCCATACCTTCCTCACCGTCATCGCAACAACCGAATGGGACGGCTGGTCGGACGTTGTTGTCTGGCACTCCAGATGCTGCTCATCATCGCCACAGCCATTTGGACGAGTTTGGAATGCATGGCTTTCGGAGATCGCACCGGCCATCGACGGCGAGCGCTGTGCCGGAGTCGCCCAGGGCGACCGGCTTCGCTGCATCCCCATCGTCATCGAGCGTGGAGAACGGGACGAAGAAACGGGCGACGCGGAAGCTGAGCTTCAGTGCGCCCATGCTTGGATTCGGCCGAAAGGAGAAGAAGGACAGGGAGGTGCAGCCGCCTCCGAGCTCGTACGTTGCGAGCCGGTGACCGAGATCGATTTGTGAATTTGCTGTTGCTGCGTTCGACGTACGCATGCAATGAAATGACCCGCCAGCCGGCATGGACAGTGCTTGTGCGTGCTCTCTTTAGACTTGATATATCCCCGCCCACGTTCGCCATATGATTATCGCATTTACGCTTGTACTTACACCATGCCTGTAATTCTCTTCTGCTGCGCTGCTCTTCCTTCTGTCCAGCAACCCTCTTTTGCTGCTGCAGCGTTGTGCACACTCATTCATATTTTTTTCTGCGTGGAGGGGTGCTCTGTTGTAGATTCTGTTTCGCGACAAGCAGCTTGCATACCTATCACTTCTATATTTAAATAGCACACGATGTACATATATCAAACAGGCGCATTAGCATAGTGTAGTTTCTATGTGATATGCAAGCGTGCGCGGGTTAGACGCCCCACTGCCACATAAGGCAAGGTGGCGGGACGCGTGGTGATCTGATCTGAGACTGCTCCGACGCGCCAGTCTCTGCCAGTGCTCACGTTGTCCATCTCCTCTTCCCCTCGCAACTCTCCCCAGCCAGCTCGGGCTGGTTGAATCTGGACATGACCAGCGACTCAGGCTCGTCTCCCCCGCCGGATCAGTCTCCTCGTACCATCAAGGAACCCATTAATCCCGCCGATTCCAAGCATGTCGCACCGAAAGCCACCAGCTCTGTGACCCTGTACACGCCCGTCCCTGCAACCAGCTTTTATGGGTCTACTGGCGTTGGCTCCTCCCATACCGGATATATCGCTCCCGCATCGTCTCCCTTTCGCGAGTTCCAGCTCGTGGAGGAGGCACCTAGCCCAGAGGTTGTCGCCCCCAATGCCACTTACGATGCATGGGGCAGAACTGCCTGGCAGGACCCAGGGATCACTCCGTGGGACTCTGCATGGTCTGGAGGAGGCTCGTGGGGCGATACAAATCCCATACACAAGGTCCCCATTGACGGCCGCAGCGAGGAGGAAGAACTGAACTGGGCAGATGCTACGGTTCGCGCGAATCATGCCAGGCCGGGTCCTGGGATGCTTCCTCCTATGTTGGCAGATATGCTACATGATCCTGAACACGCACTCTACCACATAAGCATTACACCGCCCGATCCGACCTCTCATCAATTCTGTCCGTCCCCGGAAGAAGTCCGGACGTCTGTGCCACACCCACATGCATACTACTGCAAAGAACATAATGGTTGGGTGATACTCATTTGGAGGTCGTCCACCGTCCTTCCGCCGCTCGAGCGCGCCTTCGATCCGCCCTTGCCGGACATGGCTCGTCGGAAGCAGACAACATCGTGCGTTGGTGACGGTGAACAGCCGTTTGGGCAGGTCAACATCACTCATCACTGGCACCACTATGAACATGCTGTGGATTCACAGAAGCTCAACCCGCCTTTCATGCGGGAGAACACACTGCTGGGCCTCTACGTCTGCTGCCAGTGCTCAACCTATTGCCTCGTGTCCGACGTCATCCCCGGAGTGGTACCCGCAGAACATATGAAGCGCTTTGTGCGTGAGAGGTATGCGCATCCCCCACTGGATTGGACGCCACACGCGAGCGTCGCGTCCGGATTCGAAACCATTTTGACGTGCGTGGATAGAATAAAACTCGTTGCTTTATCTCATCCTTCCGCAGGATCGTTAACAACCGATTGTGGAGAGATGAGCAAAGATCACTCCCTGTACACACCCATCGATTCCAGCTGAAGCTTGGATGGAATGATGCTGTGTATGTGAGGCACCCTTTCCATCATGTCTATACTAATTTCTCGTAGGCGGCGTGTTTTTGAGGCTGTCGGTTTCACTGTGGAAGAAGATACCAGCGAGCCGCAGCCAACTGTCTACCTCAAGCCCCCGAAGATCGACCCATCGACGCCTGAAGGCAAGCAGACCCGCGCCAAGTTGCTTCGCGCATGGGTGGAGCTCAACGCCTGGCTTGCGATTTACCTGAAATCTAGTATGTTTTGAGCCTACACGCTGGCCATCCACTAAGTAGAAGCAGAGAATGTAGGGGACTACGTTTCAATGCCACCGTCCGCGGATGCCACTGAGGTGCGAGAAATGTATCAGATGGGCATCGGAGCACACGTGAGCCAAAGTACGTGCTAAGCCACTCGATCCGTAAGGTTGCTTACGCGGTGTTAGTCCCTCGTGGCTTGCTCCCCGAGACGGTCGCCCTCAAGAACGATGTCTTAGCTGAAGACTGGCGAAGTCTCGGAATGACACCGGCGACGTATTCATGGGGTGAGTAGATACCTGGGTACTTGGAATACGAGAACTAACTTACCGCCAGAGCTGTTGATGTTCGCCTACCTCGCCCAGTGCCGCTGCGATCCGGCGCGTACCCCGAAGTATTTCACATGTCTGTCCAACATCGTGCAGGCTATGGTAGAACTCGGCGAAGCTGTCCCGGAGCTGCAGCAGCTCATCATGGACGAGCGCAACAGATACCGGTACACAAGTGAGAATCTCCGCGATGCGATCACTCTACTCGGCTTCGGCAGAGACAACGAGCTGAAGGTGGGACTCGATGACGAGGTCGATGATGAGTTCATCCTTCGTGCCTGGAGGGACGCGCGGCGCCGCGCGTGGCGGGACACCGTCAATGGCAGCGAGCTCCGCATGAGGCTGAATGAAGCTTTGAAATTTGTCGCGGACGATCGGGGAAGTGCTGTCCTCAGGAAGGCCTGGGAGGAGGAGAAAGGTTCGGGCATGTCGCCTGATGCGGCATATGCTGCTCTCGGAGTACCGACAGACGTAGATGATGGCATGCTCATAACAGTCTATGGGCTACGGGTGTGTCGTCGGGTTTTAACCGGTTATTCGACTCACGATGGATGTGCTAACCATGCAAATGCAGGTCGATGACCAGCCCAGCCAAGCAGAACGGATGCGGGAGGCGTTGACAGTCATCGCGGAAGTCACTGGCAGCGAGAGGCTTCAACAATTCATTGCTACTGGTCGCGATCGTAAGTATTAATCAATGGAGACGTTGGTGACGTTCAAATTTACACGTCTCCTCTAGCGGGCGATGCTACTCATGTTACTATGCCGGAAATGCCTCGAGGGCTGAACCAGCTTGGGAACACGTGTTACCTCAACTCTCTCCTCCAGGTGAGAATGCTAGATCGTTAGAGCGACATACGTTACAATATGATCCGCACAGTATTTCTACACTATCAAGGATCTCCGCGAAGCCATCACTCCGCTTTCAAGCACTGATACGAAGGCATTGGACGATAGTAAGTTCACAGACGATGATCTGAAACGGCATCGTGTTGGTGGGCGGTTGGTGACAAGGAGAGAGATCTTGCGTTCGAAACGATGTAAGATCTGTCTATTTCCTCCCACAGGACCTATCTCATCTGTAGCGCTCAGTTGTCCACCAATTGGCCGATCTGTTCTGGAATCTGGAGTATTGTGAAGTTCCTGCAGTGACGCCTACTATCGATCTGGCAAAGCTTGCTCTTGTGACATCGCAAGATGAAGAAGAGGACGACCAGGACAGGGCAGGTACCGACTCGTCGAACGATACCGACGCTACTCTCGTAGAAGATGCTCCTCCCCGCTTGTCTTCCCCACCGCCCCTCTCAAGCCCGACTGACACTATCTTGGGAAAGCGAAACCGGGATGTCGGGGTTGGTATGGATATCGATAGTCCTCCGGACGCAACAGGGTCGTCATCTCCTGCGTCGACTGTAGAACAGCCGACGGCGTCCTCATCTAAGCTGCCAGCGGAACCGATGGACGTCGAGATGCAGGACGTCTCGACACCCGCGGGTCCTCAGCTGAAGCCGCCTCCGCTACCTGCACGGAAGCCTCGGCGTGTTGACGACTCTGTGATGATGTTTGGTGCGTGTGATAGGATAATGCGTAGGACGATGGGTTGACAATTCATCGCTCGGTAGGAAGACAGCATGACGTCTCGGAATGCATGGACAATTGCATGTTCCAGATTGAGACTGCTCTGCTCGACTTCGAACAAATGACGGGAGCAGATGATGACAAGACGAGCGTGATCAAGAGGTGATCACTTACGATCCTCTAATTGTACCTCAATTAATGAATGTGTTGCAGGTTGTTCTATGGGAAGAAGCGGCAACGTCTAACACCTTTGAGGCCTGCTGGCAGCGCCAGATATGAGTCTTCCATACATGAAAAGGAGGACCTCTTCTCTCACCTGCATGTAAACGTCTCCGATGAGGGATTCGACCTATATGACGGGTTGGCACGCTATTTCGACGACGTTGTGGAGTTCGACGGCCAGAAGAAGCGGATGGAAGTGACGCTCGTGGACCTTCCTCCATTACTTCAAATTCAGCTCCAGGTAACGTACTCCCTGAGCGTGCCTCTCCGAGGTTAACTAAATTCCTCATCGCAGCGCGTACAATTCGATCGCGAAACACAACAGGCGTACAAGTCACAAGCATACGTCAAGTTTGGTGAAACAATATACATGGACCGTTTCCTGGACACCGCGGAACAAGACAAAAAGGCACGCGCGAAAGCGATACAGGCTGACCTGAATGCAAGCCGAGATCATGTACAGCGCCTTACGAAGGACAAGGTGGGATTTTCTGCTACGCCAAGCGCCTCAAATGCTCACACATAAATGCAGCATGCACCTTTCGCGCCTGCATTGGGCGGGACGGCCGATTTTCTCTCGAAGCAGGATGCCTTCCAGATACCCGAAGTCGACGATAGTCTGATCGCCACGCTTAATAAAGAACAGGACTCCGTCACGGCGCAGCTAGAGCAGGAGAGAAGCAATGTTCTCCGCTTGAAGAGCGAGATCGAAGACATCTGGAAGGATGATACATCAGCGACGTACGAGCTGACTTCGGTCTTTGTACACCGCGGATCGTCGCCTTCCTGGGGACACTACTTCTTCTACTCTCGGAATCTGCCTGATCACCCTAATCAGTGGTTTAAATACAACGACTCGGATGTAAGTATAGTCTCGAAGGATGAGGTGTTGGCGGACACTACTGGGTCAACGGCAAACCCGTACATGGTATGTGCCTTCTTCTCTGGCGCGATCACTGTTTCGGTTCGCTCACGGCGATGACACTATTAGCTTGTATTTGCACGAAAAGGATCGCAGGCCATCCATACTGTGCACAGATTCGACCCGCAACAGCTGCAAGACGGATGATGTCCACCTACATTTTGTCACCAATCATTATGAACTAATGCGCATTGTATACTACGCATCCTGCTTGTGTGTGTTTCTACTAAGTGCCTGTGTTATCCCGATAATGAAAGGTTGCCGAGCGCTGGGCCGCTTTTCAGTGACAACAGGAAAGATGAAGAGATGCTGCTCACGAGACGGTTCATAGCCATGCCCAATTCGAGCAAACGAGGGCGTGCGAGGAAACCGTCAACTTTATGATCTTCCACGAGCAAGTCCAGGCCGATTTTATCTAGCCTGTCATTGAGGTCTTGCAGTGTCGCTTTCAGCTCTTGCTTGGAGCGGTTTCCACCCTCAGCGTGCAGCAGCTGGAGCGCTACTGCGATGGTTCGCGTCTGGCTGTCGTGAACCAGCTGCTTGACTGCTGCCAAATCAAGAGTGCTGTCTCCTGATTCGATAGCAGTACGTTTGGGTGAAATCGTCTTCGTTCCGCGCGATGGCAGTCTCCGCGGATCAAAGAAGCGGCTGCGAACTGCCCCGAATTTTGGGACTGAGCCTCGCAATCAGGTAAGACTAGTCAGATAATTTTCCGTCTACATGTACCTTCGTACTGAGAGACTACGGAGGGGATTTCCTGCGCAACCTGTCGAGCGACCGCGGTGATGTCATAGCAACAGTAGTCGCGCATTTCGAGCACGAGGTCCGCTACGTCGCAATAGTCGCCTGCGAGTGTCTAAGCGTGCCACTCTGGCGAAGAGCACCAGCGATAATAATACGTGCCGCATCCGCCGATGACCAGGATGGAGGAGCAGCGGTGATCCTTGAGCATCGCGCGAATCTGCGTGGAATGTATATGAGTGTGCGTGCAAGCATGAGAGATCGGGACGAGCCTTGAAGATAAGAGGCGTGATGGGGTCCGCGGAGACGAGCCGCTGCATTCGCAGGTCTCGAATGAGGAAGTTGGTCGCGCAGCTGTCCTCGTCGAATAGCAGGAGGTCCGTTCCTAGCTCCAGTGCCTGCGAGAGATTTGATCTGAGTAGCGGAGCGGTACAAGAACAGGAAACGCTCACCTCGATCACGCCTGCGGCCATGGACGTGCTCCCGCTCGCGTCCTGTGTAGAGAAAGCGGTAGTAGAGGCGCCTCCTGGGAGATTGTTGATGAAAGGCGAGATGTCGACGCAAATAATTGGGCGGCCATCCTCGCCTTGTACGGACACGCATCGATCCGAGGTCACCACGAACTCTCGGCCATCTATGATACAAGCAGGTCAATCGGGCACCACAAAAGACGAAAGAGCCAACGACCTCCGGAGATGTGATTGTAACACCCGACCGCGAGCGCATCCAACAGCGTCGATTTTCCCTGAACAGGAACGCGCACTCAACACACTGCAGCAGCGTTATCACGCATACAATAAAGAGCACCTACATGGAACCCGCCCCCAGCGATCATCGTGACTCCCGCTGGGACCGCCATCCCTCTGACTGTGCCGCGATGTGGCAGTGTGAACGTGCGTTCGAGGTTAGGCGGGGACTGGAAAGGCACGGCGGGAGGAGTGTGCATGGGCGCGTCGGACGCACCGCTCGCGCGCGGAAGAATTGCATCGTTGGCGACGAAGGCGACGAGACCTGCAGACGAGGTTTATTATCAGAGTAGGGATGAAGAGGATGGAACTGACCTGCTGAGCGGATGAGGGCGCGGAGTGCATCTTGGTCCTCGACGCAGTCTACGAATTCACGCAGCTCGTCAGTATCCGTACTGTCCGTGGTGTACAGTAGCGAGCGAGCGAGCGTCGGTATTGCATTGCGGAAGATGTCCGCGGCCCAGTCCCCGAGGATGGTCCGGCCTGGCGGGGATAGTCAGCAACGCTCTAACAGCGCACGGGAGCTGAGACGCGTTACCTTGCGCAGGGAGGCCGACGGTAAATCTCGCCTCGATGCCATCGTCGTCTAGGATGACCGAGCTTCGCTCGAGCACCTCCTGGCCGGGCGTATCGACGGCGATCTCGCCGCCCTTTGCCGCGGACCAGTTCTTGCTGCTCCGGCTGTTCTTCGATAGCTGGGCTGCAGACGCATGCAATTTGCGGGTAAGGAAGTCGCAAAGGGCGATTCGTCTGATATGATATCAACACTCAGAAGCAATATACTTTGTTCAGCCCGTTGCGTACCGAATACGATTCGCATACAGGTCGGGAGGGAATTTTGCCACGGCGTGTTTCACTCGGGCACGAGCCTTGCTCGGTGGAGCGAACGGGTCGCTCTGCACGTAATCTATGGATAATTGAAACGCAGCAGGGTGAGCGTAATCCCATTGTCCTTCAAAGAATATGAGTTTTATGTATGCTAGTAAGGTGGCGGAGAGACGCACCCTGGATGTCACGATATGCGGGATAGCTCTTCCCATTCAGTCGTGTTGTAAGCGTACTGATCAACTGGGCTGAGCTGCCGCTAGCTACCGCAAATGATGTTTACTATGAAGTTACCACTAGTCAAAACGGCGTACGTTACTCGCCTTGTCTTTCATCATGCTGTCGTTTCACTCCGCGGTTCGCACCATATTCGGTACGGTCTGCAGGAGCAGAGCCTCTTCCAGCACCGCGGCCGTAGCCCTCTCCCCTGCCGCGCCCGCCATACAGGTTCTTGTAGTACTCTCCACGGCCTGGGCCAGAATAATGTCTCTTAGATCTCAGCGCTCTTTGCGGGGAAGGCTTTGCCAGCCTATGAAAGGCGAAGAGCCCGTACCTGACATGCAGCAGACGATTTGAGACGGAGTGCAGGTCACCAATTAATTGAGTCGACGGTGGTGAGGGTCGCGCTTGATCATGATCTCATGATCGCATAAGTGAGCGCTCTAGGCTTTTGGTGGCAGCAATGCTCGATAAGTAAGTAACTTTATAATGTCTCATTAGTACTGTAAGCGCCCTCAGGCCTCAGCGCTCGGCGCTTACGCAGGAATGGTTTTTTTATCGTTGCCTTACTCTCTCGCGTCTGCGCGGCATACTTTGCAAGCTGGCTTTGTGCAATCTCGCCAGTGTTATGCGTGCAACTCATCTTGGATCCACAGTCGTACTCAATGCTAGTTTGGATAACGTCCTGAAGAACAGCATGGACGAATGAGAGACTGGCAGCTAACTTTCTTTCCTCGTACTCTGCACGTTTGGGAAGAGCAGAATAGCCTTTCGCGTCCCAGAGGGCTCATTGCGAAGAGCCGTATTGCCTGTCAGCTGGACATCTCACTAGCACTGCCCATGAGTTCCGACCGACATTGACACCGGCTAGCCGGGACACTGTCTTCTTGTACCTGGACTGAGGATCCTCTTGTTGATATCGCAAATCTCATGCTTACTCCTGCTCGCATCCACGTATGGCCTCCCATCGCTCATCCGTACCTTGAAATCCGCATTCGATGCGTGACTTATAACGCCAGGCGCGCACCATCGCGGTCTCATCGGCACACCTGTCCTGGATTACCTTCGATGGCGAAGACGGTATTACATCTCCTTTCCGGTGTCTCAGAGGCCATCCAGGCTGTGTTGACTCTCGGCAGCTTTGCATCAAGCGTCATCGTGCGTGTGCCTGCCACCCTGGTGTGCTACTGTAGCAACAGTTAGCTCTCGGCCCTGGTCACCGTGGGCTCATGTTTCCTATAGTGCGGAGCTATCTCGCCTCCGACACATTCTCTGGCTGATATAGCATTCCTGACATGACGCATCCACATCCACATCTGCCTAAGCACGAGCCATTGTAGCCGCCGCTCATTTTCTACCAAAGGGAATTCACGGATTTAGAAGCCTTATTCAGTATGGGGCATGACAGCTTCGGCATCTCTCGCAACCGCCAACGACGGGATATTGGTTCTCGTCAAAATCGAGACTCGCGATGCCATGACGAATTTGGATGGCATTCTTTCTGTAGATGGCCTCGGTATGCCTGTCATGTTTCGTATCGATGACTGAGTGCGTGGTTTTAATTTTCGCTGCAGATGGTGTTCTCGTTGGTCTTATGGTCTGTCGCTCTCGCATGGGTACCGATCGCCGTCTCTCGACTTGCAACCGGAAGTCGAGGTGCTGATCCAAAACGTACGGAGACAATGCACATATCAAAAGCGAGAAATGGTCAATAGCTCCATGACCTGCTCCGGGTGTCTCGCAAATTCAAGTGTCTTGATTCGAAGCGCCATGCTGCGAGCTCTCAGGCAGCAAACCATGTCGAGGAAGGCTTTGATATCTTACATGAGGTCTAGCCCCGTCTGCGTGACGCGATTTGCCCATCTTACGCAACAATACTAGTCTTAATGCGATGACACACTAACGTCACCTCAGGTGCCTCCGCACTCGCTTAGCGCAAAACTTCCGACAGCCGCGGAGCACACTGCGCTCCCGAGGTCGGTCAGGTACTAATTTGTTTCTCCGCGGTGTTCCCGCATGCTCTGTCAAGATTTGAAATTGTAATATTCGGCGCGTGCTTGAACAAGGTGCATAGCCAGTTCAATCTCAAAGTCATCAGTGTGTTCCAAGAATAATCTCACGACAACATATGATTATCGGTCTCGCACCTACGTAGGAATTCCCTGCTGCGTGGATTCTTTTACATTCCTGACGTTTCTTTTTCCGGGAAGTAGACTTGCGGTTCTATCTACAAAACGTAGAAGAAGCCAACCAGTGGCATGCACACGGTCTTATCGCGACACATCCATTCTCCGATATGACACAGAATTTGTCACCAACTCTCCATGCCGGTCGGCGTCAGGTGTGCTGCGATGCTGACAAAGGGTATACTCCGTCCTACCTTACACTAGCCCTAATCATCCGACGTGTTGCTCAGAATGAAGTTAGGTTCAGTTAAGTTGAGTTGGAGCCATGGTGGCCACATCTCAGCAGAAATGCATACGTTTTTTGTTGTATAGATGCTATTGTAAGGGTGGCATCACTTTCGCTAGCGAAGTCATTTATTTCAGATCGCAAACTCTGTCATGTTGACTCAGAACGTGGTGTCTTATCGCCGCTGTCAACCCTTAGGCTCGTAGAGGTGTTTAATCGCTCCACTTGGGCTGACTGACACCATAAAGCCTCTCATCATTCCGTCTGTGTCTTCAAGCTCGTAACCGTGACATCTGTGCTGCATTCTCTCTCCCATATGTCGCTTCACGTTCTCTCTCAGATGGTGGACATCAGTGGAGACCTCACCGTCAACAAAGTAATTGTAGATGAGCCTGTGCCTTGCATTGTACTCATGCATAACATACAGGAGGATCTTATCAATGTCTCGAAGTCGTCGATAGGCCGACTGTTACAAAAGTTCCATGTCACGCCTGCAAAGATCCCCCAGGACTTCGAGCTTGAGTCCAAAGCCAGAACTGTGACCGACGAATGGACCTTCGGCATTCGCCCTCAAATCAGGACCGGTGTCAACTTTGCCACGGTAGCCTTTGCGCACATCACAGACATCGAAACAAAGGTCGCCGTTGCACTATACTGTGCACTGATCGCTGGCATGGACGATCCTGCCAGGCTCAGTGCTAATGCGGTGATCTCTAGCGAACCCTTCCGCAAGCTGTGCAGCGGTTCCGCTCGTTACGATCCGGGAATACCGGGAGCGTTGTTCAAGTTGCTCGTCAAGACTCATGAACTATTCCCTCCTTTTGCTGCCAACACCATTTACATTTCAGTGTTGCAGTTCCTCAATGGCGCAATGCTGGAGAACGAATATGACAGTGGAGGCTTTGATCTTACCAAATCGGCGCTGCGGTTTGTCGAGTACCAGCGATATCTTACTGGGATTTCCGATGGATTTGCATGTTTTATTTGGGAAGGGGCGAAGTTTCCAGATGAGCGAGTTTACGCAAGCGCCATACCGTGAGTACATTTATTGGACAGATGTTGGGAGTACGCATGATACTAACCCTCAATACATAGTGATGCCGGTATCTTCATGAACTACGTGAAGTAAGATTTGCCGCTATCACATCCACTGCTGGGAGGTCTGACATTCTGACAGCGACGTATTTTCGTTCTATAAAGAAGAATTAGCGGGGGAGACGACGACATACATCCACAATCGCGCTCTCGTGAGTGGAAAGGCACTCCCCGAGACGCTCCACGACGTCATCGACGATGCCTTCGCTGCAGCGGAACGCGTTCGTAATGTTCTCAGCGGCGAAGCACGGGAGGTGTGGGACAGCTTTGAGAAGGGGTTCATTGTGTTCCATATCGGTGACCGACGATACCGCCTGCAAGAGGTGCTTGGGACGGAATATTTCCTCGACCGTGCAGAGTGGTAGACCGAGCATAATCCAATTTGTTTGTTCCGATGTGAGTCTTTCCTGAGAAAACTGACGGCCGTTTTTCACCGACCAGTTCGTTGGTGTGGGGATACAAGGGCTGTTTGAGGCCCGCGTGCACGGTCGGGCGAGGGAAGTGTTGTTTGAGAGATAATTAGCCCTTCAATGGAAGCAGCAATTTGGCGTGCGTGTTTCTCCTATGTTCTGAACACTGAAATTAAAATTTTTCAAGTGGCGCTCCGGGGTGGGTCTGTGAGGTCTTTCGAACTTTCGTGACGCAAAACCTGAGCACGTATGACAACTTGCGTTCTATCCGACCGTGACAGCAAGTCGGAGTTGCATGAATGCTTCAAGAATGGTACCAGTTGAAAATATGACGTTGCATTGCAAACGGACCGACGCCGCTGCCGAAGTTAGTTCACTGGCAGCTGTATGTGGCCCACCAATGTGGCCTGCGCCGTTCAACCAATACGCAGTGGCACCCTTTTTTGCGGATGCGTTATGACTCAGTAGACGCTGTAGAAGGTGGCCAGGTCGACGTGGCGGAATAGAACACACGCGTGCGCCGCGAGCATGGCAATTGTGGTCGAGGACGTGATTGGTCCTCGGTCAATGCGATCAATCGGAGGGCACTGCGCGCGGGATGACGTGGACGTTCGACAGATCCGCTGGGATGCGGTTGTTACCGCTCGGGGCTGGCGCAGGATTGGTTCCGTTAGCACGAAGCGATATGACCCTTGCTTCCCTGCTGCAACGCGCCAATCATGGAATCTATATTGTCTTGCAATGTAATTACTAATGACACGGATTCCTCCAAGACACTGGAAGCGTTAAATCATTGATGTATCACGGTGACATGGCAGGGACTCGGAGAGGCTTCAAGCGCTTTGGAAACCAGAGACATTACATGTTGCGGGATGCCGTGTCGCAATTGCGAGCTGTTCCGCGATGCGCGTCAATCTATTGCAATGAAATTTCCGGGTATTGACAAGGTCAGAACGGTACACGCAAACATGTGATAAATGTATGGAGGGTAAGAGAATCATACAACAATCCAATCCGGGGTGGTGGTGGTGGTACATGCTATCGCGACAAGGACGTACTGTACAGTGGTCGATAGAACAAGAAGAAAAAGGGTGGGACGAACGTATGATGTAAATGTCGCGAGTCGACTCGATTTCTGGCGAGGCTTGAACGTCTACGCCACGACGATTTCTTCGACCCACTCTTCCTCCTTCCTCGTGAACCTCGTCCTCTGGTTCGGCGTGACGCCAAGCTGCACCCAATCCACCTCCAGAGTCTCGATAAGCACGATGGCGCAATTTTTAAGTGCCTGCTCGACCTGCTGCTCCTCCTCCTCGCTTTGCGCTTCGCCATCTTTCGGTAACTTCTGTGGCCATTTCGATGCCTCATCATATGAGCCTATGGTAGAGCCAGGGACAGGACGACACCAGCTCGCCTTCAACTGCGCATTAACGCTGTTGAACGACTCCACCCTCTTCTTCTCCCAATCGTAGCCTTGCTCGTCCATCTTGTCGAGCGCGAGCGATGGCGGGGGTGGCGCGCCGGCCTTGAAGTCAGCCTTGGGGGAAGCCACAATCCGCACGGAGCCGTAGATGCGGAACTGGTCCTTCGAGCCAGCCATCCACCAGGCGACTTCAGCCTGAGGGTTGGCACGCAGCTGAGAGATCTTGGGGGAACGGACGTCGGTTGTTAGAATGAATACTGGCAGATTGGGATACCCCTCGGGCTGCACGATGTCACGGTGCACGCATGTGCGGACGTGAGGCCTGCCATTCGGGTCTGCGGTCGCTAGCTGATACACTGATTGAACGCATCAACCAAATTATGCATGCTCCAACGAACATATTGATATTACCGGTTTGCCCTTTGTTCTCGGGAACGCTAAGAGCCTTCTTGAGCTCAGACAACCATCGAGGAGCGGACGCCATTGTGGTGTATGTTGAAGAAATATGAACGTTTGAACAGCAAGATGTGAAGGCCTCGCGAGGTGGTTGGCATCGAGATATACGGCGGCGGGAGAGCGATCGAGATGAAATCGAGACGGGATCTAAAATCGCGCCATTGGGCCGGGGCTGAAGTCGCAGCGTCATCGGGCCTACGTATAGCACAGGTTGGAGACGATTGCAACGCAGAAGGTCTCGGCAGTCGATGCGGCACGAACAAGACCTAGAATTATCTTACTGTGTAATGCAGGTCAGCTTATTGGTTTGGCCATGTTTCTCACTCTCGCTGCATCACTGCGCCATTGATGTCATGTTCCACGTTTACATGCGCTTGAGTACTACTGCTTTCCGTGCCCATAAATATCATACACTGGCAGGGATCGGGCAAGCTCATGGGGTGCAAGAATTAGTCCCTGTGCGAAGTGATTGTCTTTGGCCACTTAAACTGCCGTTGTGGTCATTTAATCCCATTATCTTCATCACCATCCGAGATCCCTTTCTGAGGCAGAAGTGAGCTTGTTCATTCCGTATTCCGACTTTCTCTTCCTCCTTTCCAAGATAACTGTTGCCAATAATCAATTCCTTCGATCTGCCTCAAAAATGATGCACGTGACCGCGTTGGAGGAATAGATTAGCGCGCAGCCTCAGGCACGCCCGGAGCTTTGTCGCCACGTAAGGCTACACTTGACGAGCACATACTCTTGATGCCTTTTTTGTTGGAATATCAAGCCTAGCTATACTTAAGTATGGACTTATCAGTTAGTATTCCCTTTTATGTACTTATCGGGCATTAGCGCCCGTAAGACTTTTCACCCGCTTCGCTCGTTCTGCGGGCTTCAGTCCTTCTATCATCAAGGAGCTGAAGCCTGTGAGTACCGATACTGTCCTGCATGAATGCAGCTTACATACTAATGTACCGTAGTTGACTCTAGGTACATACTACTAATACAGTCCTTCTATCATCAAGGAGCTGAAGCCTTTGACTCTAGCATGTGTCCTCCCGTCCACTCCTTTTCCATCCGTTTACAGGTTATGAGCCCCGCCGGCCACTACGAGATGTCACTCAGCAACCACGAATCATCAGTCAGGATCCCCCGCCTCGCGGAAGATGGATCGAACTGGGTGCTCTATAAGGAGCAACTCAGGTCCACCGTAACGGCGAAGAAGCTGGTGCGATATCTCGATGGCCGCGACAAGGAGCCTACTGCACCCACGGCTCCAGGGGTGGATTCCGATGCAGACGAGGCGTACGCAGATGCGTACAACACTTGGGCCGCCGGACATGAGGCGATCAAAACGCTTCTATACCAGACGCTACCGGAAACGCTGAAACTCCAGATTATCCCCGAGAAGAAGGTGTCCGGAGCTTGGAAGGTGGTCATAGCTGAGTATGACAATTGCGGTGACTTCATCCAGGCTGAACTGCTCCGACGCATGCATGCTCTCCGCTGCACTGAAGAGAAGGACCCTCAACCGACCCTAGATAAGCTCCAGAAGCTTAAGGCCGAGTTCATGACAGCTGGCGGTGTTCTTGACGACAAGCAATACCACGTGCTCATCATCAGCTGCCTCCTGAAGTCTTATCACCCCGTCGTACGCACCATCCTCTCAGCTGCTCACCTGGCTTCCATCCAGGCTACTGGCACCACCACAACTCCCACTCCCACCATCATATCCGACGAACTCTTACGCCAGATCTACTCAGTCGCATGCGACGAGTTCGCCCTGGACGAGTCACAGAGCACTGCGGAAGACTCCGCACTCATGACGAGGTCAGGTGGCAAGGACGTGAGGAAGATGTGCAGCAATTGCAATAAGCCCGGCCATCTGAAAGCGGACTGCTGGGCGAAAGGTCGTGGAAAAGAGGGCCAAGGGCCACGGAGCAAGAACAGAGGGAGGAAGCATGACAAGGGCTCAGGGGGAGCCAGTGCGAATGCGGCGACAACAGGCAATGATGAGGCGTTCGCATTCGCCATTGCGACTGATTTTTCGAAGGTCGAGGGAGCGAAGCTCCCAAAGCTCACCCGGATCCTCGATTCAGGTGCAAGCTGACACTTCGATCCGGTACACTCGAATTTCACCACATTCTGGGAGATCGAATGCAAGCCAATCACGTCAGCCAACAGCCGTGTCTTTTATGCCACCGGTGAAGGCGACGTCTGCATCGCTACTATGCACAAGGGAAAGACAGTCAAGTTTACCCTATGCGATGTTCTCTATGTGTCGTCTATGCCTTTCGCCCTCATCTCCATCAGCCACACTACAAAGGCTGGCTACGCTGTCCGTTTCGAGCGCGACGGGTGCCATGTCGTCTCCCCTCAAGGTACCACCGTGTTTGTAGCCGCCGAGCACAACGGTCTGTACCCGCTACCCGGATCGCCAGTCCCATCAGCACCTGTGAAGGAGACAGCGTTAATGGTAATGCTATCACTCACCGAGTTCCATCGACGCATGGCCCATGCCTATGCCCCTGCCCTCAAGAAGATGGTTGAGGCTAATGTCGTCACTGGAGTACGACTCAAGGACACGACCACCGAGTTCTGCGAACCTTGCACGAAGGCGAAGCAGACCTGTGAGTCATTCCCAAAGGTGCGCTCGAGCCCGCAAGTGACCGTGTATGGTCAGCGCGTGCACACGGATGTCTGGGGGAAAGCACCGGTGAAGTCCCTCGGCGGCAAGGAGTACTATGTCTCCTTCACCGACGACTACTCAGATGAGGCAGTTGTGTGCCCTATTGCCCGCAAAAGTGATGTACTCACACAGTACAAGGCCTACAGCTCATGGGTGAAGGCCCACCGAGGTGTCAACTCCATCAAGGAACTGCAGAGCGATAATGGAGGGGAGTACATGAGCACGGAATTCCAGGCTTATCTGAAAAGCGAAGGTACGCACCATCGCCGAACTGTGCATGACTCCCCGCAGGAGAATGGCAAGGTTGAACGCCTTAACCAGATGCTCGCCGAGCACTCCTGCATGCTGCTCTTCGACGCGGACCTCCCCAAGTTCATCTGGGCTGAGTCCGTAATGCATACCGTGTGGCTTCACAACTGCACGATGACCCAGAACACCCCCGACTCGATGCCACACGAACGCGCTACAGGGCAGAAGCCTCATCTCGACCTGCTCCCTCGATTCGGTTGCACCGTGTGGGTACGCGTTGATGCTGCCTCGAAGCTTGATCCGAAGTCGCATCAAGGCCACTGGGTTGGGTTCGATGCACATAGCAAGGGTCACCGCGTGTACTGGACCAACAAGCGCAAGGTATCCGTCAAACGCGATGTGCGTTTCGTCGAGGAAAACGCACCCATCTCCGTCAACGTGCCCGAGGGGGAGCCGAACAAGGCCAAAAGCGGCCAGAACGCGCCTACGGGCACTTCACTCCAACCTCCATCGACCTCCACATCAGCCATGACCATCACACCATCCAACGCCATCCAACTGCCTGCAACCATCCCGAATGAGTCGACAAACGTGAACACTGAGCTGCTGCAGCCAGAGAGCGTGGTGACCAAGCCGGAGAGCACACCCGAGCCAGGAGCTGAACGTCCTAAACACGTACGTCAGCCATTTCAATGGATACGTGACTTACAGTCAGGTACCAGCACCACCGGTGGATGCGGCACACAGCGCGTTCCAAGGAGCGTTCTCGAGCACGCGAAGCTCATGCAGGATCAGCCAGAGGATGAGTCCGACGATGAGGGGGAGACCCTCTATGCTCTGGTGGCCATGGCTGGTGACACTCCATTGTACCATGAGGCGATGGCCGGGCCGGAACACGAGCAATGGCGAGAGGTGATGCAGGAGGAGCTGGCGAAGATAGTGTCGCGATTTGTGATCTGCGGCTCGCCTTGGTACCTATAAGGTTATATTGTTTCCTAGTTTAGTATTTACTCACCCCACTCGATCTTGAGCTCCCCAACGCTCACTTCCCTTCAGACACTTGACAGTTAGCATATATATTCACAGCGAGTACGTCGGATGCCCCAGAGGCTTTACCCTGGTGCAATCCGTGTACGTGATTTTACATATAGTTCTGCACCGTACAGATGTACTTATGCTTAGCACAGTGACGCGATAGTACACGTCACTTTAGGTATGAATAGAGAGGCTTTACCCTGGTGCAATCCGCTGATGCGATAGTACGCGTCACTTTAGCCCTCCGGTCTTTCCGTGTCGAGTAGATGCAGGCATACCAGCCACGTTGACCCCTCGCGGTCATCCGTTGCACCTCCGCGCTGTAGCGCGTTAGGTTATGAGCCCCGAGCTTATCACCTGCAGATACTCGAAGTTAGCGCATGAAAATTTGCTTTAGGTATAAGCAGACTGTTACCTTTGAACGCACGCATATTTGCACCAGTACTCGTCGCCTGCTTGGACAGCAGGGCCATGAAGTTTCAGATCTAGAAGATCTTTACCCGTACCATACGGAATCCCACCTCGCTCATTTATCTCGCATCGATCCCTCACTCTTCTTCGTCGAAGCAACCCTGGCTTCCGAACTTTCTCCTAGCCCTCCGGCTCCTCCGGCTCAACCACCAGCACCTTCCCCATCGCAGTCTGCTGTTCCCACCATGACACCATCTGTCGCGAAGGAGTTCTCCAAGGTCCCAAAGCTTGCCGCCGACGGATCGAACTATCGCATCTGGCTAGGCCACGTCCAGCGCGCTGCAGGCGCATGCGACGTCGATGATCTCTTGACGTGTTCCGCTGACTCTTCGAAGGCTGAAGAGGTCAAGCTGAATAAGCAGATGCTGAACGCGATTACCAGAAAATTCACCGACTCACTTTTCCGGAAATACCTCAGCGTCACTGAAGTATTCAAGGTCATCGAAGGACTGAAAACCGAGTTTGGAACGCCGACCGCTGCGATGGATGCCGTAACGGAGGCGAAACTATTCACTTTGAAGTGTACTGATGAGCGTAAGCTGCGTCAGCACCTCGACCAGCTGGCCGAGCTCAAGGAGAAGTTAGCGGAGTCCAACATC